ACCCTGTGGAAATATAAGTCCTGCTGATTAGTTCACGAGATGGGGTTGAGTTGGGCTGAGCTAGGAATGACTACGGATCCCAATGACACTCATGGGTCTGGGGCTGGTGACAACGTGGCAGATCCAGGCTGCAGCACCTGCATGTCCATCCTACCAGAGGGTATGAGGCAGGCCGAGCTGCAACATCCTCCAGCTCATACAGATACAAAGATGGAGTAGCAGGCTATTCTGGGCAAGAACCTAGCATGTGCTGGAATATGTGAGCTCTAGGTCGGGGAGTGAACCAAGTGGGGGAACAAAAGAAGCTGGAGAACCTATTGGGGGTCACAGCTCCCACTGGTGAGCACATGTTTCAGGCCTGGGTGTTGGACAGCCTGAGCAGGGTAACTCCAATTGCTGGCTGATGTGTGGGTTGGCTTTGTAGGGGGGGCGGTGAATATGCAGGGCCAAGCCAACCTTACCTCATTGGCAATAGTAGAAACTGTGCAGGAGCACAGGTCAAGCTCACCTAGGCTGTCACACATACCAGACTCCATGAGACTTGGACGGGAGCAGACACAGCAGGGCCAGGTTCCAGCACCTGCCAGTGAGTAGAAGGAATCGGGGTAGGCTGGTTAGGTCAGGCTACAGCATCCAAACACAAAGGTCATGACAGGTGAGGGACTAGGCCAAGCTGGGTCAGAGCAACCATTGCCAAGTGTAAAGATCTATAACTGGAAACAGACTTACTTGGGGAGCTAAGAAGATGTTTTGGCTGGGTTAGTGTTTCCACTGGGGCTGGAATGGGAGCTGTGTTCTGGTCTGGATATGGCTACAGCATTCCACAGCACAAGTGTGGACTGGAGCTAGACTGGCTAGACCCCAGCACCCACTGGTGCTCATGAGGACCAGGGTAGGTGTAGGATGAGCTAGGCTAGGTTTTTGCCCCTGCTGAGCCAGGTGTGAGCTGTGTCTGTGTGTGGACCAGGCTAGACTGGGCTGTAATACCCAACAATAATAACCGGAATGGGTTGAAAGCCAGTCAGGAAAGGCCATTGTTCCTGCTAGATCACGAGGCGGACTAAGTAGGGCTGGCCCATGCATGCACCCGTGTGTGCAAGATCTAGCATTGGGAATGGTTCTGATGGACGAGCCTGGGAAACTCTTCCATCAGGACATAGTCCATGCAGATGAGTGCAAATACCATGACAGGGAATAGCCCAGAAAGAGCCAGTGAATGGCACCCGAAGGCATACATTTGGTGCAGATCAGGGGCAAACCAAGGAACACCAGTTTACATCACCCACTGGCAAATCCAAGCACATTAATGGAATGTGGGTCAGGCTGGGTGAAGGTGCAATATATGGCAGTACACGTAAGAGCTGGGACTGGGTGCCGGCTGGACTGGTCTAGGATTTAGCCTCCACCAACCTGAACTGGAATAGGGAACAGGGCCGTGCCAAGCTGGGCTGGGCCAGGCTACAGCACCCACTGGCAAAAGCTGAGGTGAGGCAGGCCTTGCCAGACGTGGTCATGACACCCAACCAGCACACGCAAGACCCGGCAGGGGAGGAGTAGAACTGGTAGGGGAGAATGTGGGGGCTCCCCTGCAGGAACACAACTCCCAGTGGAGAGCGTGAGTTGGGATGGGAGCAGACCAGATTGGGCAGGACTACAAAGCCCGTGGGCCTCATGTGAGCTAGATTAGGGAAAAGCCAGGCTGGGCTGACTTCCTCCTGGGGCAACCTAAATCAGAGTAGATGAAAGTTGGCTGGACTTTGCTGCAGCACCAGCTGGCAGATGCTGGCATGGGGGGCTAATTCTGTGAAGCTAAACTGCAGAACCACCTGGAAAGTGCATGATCCGGGAGTGGGAGTGACCCAGGAGGGAAACAGTGGGCACCTCTTTCTTGACTTACCATTCAAACTGGAGAGCATGAGAACCAGGACAGGGGCAGGGGTGGCAGGACAGAATGGCACCCAAGAGCCTGTGTATGGCTGGATAGTGGAATTGGTTGGGTTGAACTAGGCTTCAATGCCCATTGGCTAAATGGGATGTGGGAAAGACTTGACCAGTATGCTGTATATACTGGCAAGATAGGGATCAGGGCAGGAGGAGGCCCTGGTGGGGGTTATTGCAGGTCACCCTGACTAGGCTTCAGCTCCCACTGGTTTGCATGAGGGCCAAGTGTGTGGTGGGCAGAATCAGACTAATCTGCAACACCCTTTGCTTCATGTGGAAGATAGGGCTGGAAATAGAACTGACTCAGCAATTGTAACCACCATCATATGCACAACCTAATTCAAGTGACAGACTCTGCTCAATGAACCCTGTACTGGCAAGCACACACAAGAATCAGGTCTGGGATCACCTCAGACAAAGTCTCTTCCAGGATCCCTCCAACTGAACTGCTGATCTCAGAAGCCCAACCATAAAGGGAAGTGCAGCTTCCCATGGTCTGACCAAGGAGTGCAAGTGTCAAAGCTGAGCTGCCTCACAGCCTCAGAAGGAACAGTGGACAGCATATCCAGGTGCACATGGAGGATATGGCAGGCCATCAGAGCCTGCAGAGGACACCGGGTACCACAACAGAGAAGACAGAACAAATCAACTAACTAACCCAGCCATGTGTTGGCACTGATTCTGGAGAGATTTCATCATGCTTAGAATAGTGAGATCGGCAGAAATTCAGAACTGTTGGACTATCAAAAACACCTGAGCAGGACCCTCCGAGCATGCCTCATGTCAGAGACCTGGGATGGGTGGGAGGCTGGGTGTGGCTTCTCACTTTATCCTTCCCTTTACCCCAGATCTAATCATAACAATGTGGAAACAAACGTCTTACCCACTTTCCTGTAGCTCTTGACCCTTTGTGCCCTAATCAACTATGTAAAGTTTGCCAAAATAAAATAGAAATAAGTTTTACAAATTTGATCAAAATTCACAGCACGACCACTTGAGGAGCTAGAGAAAAATATATAAGCAAAACAGAAACTGAATTGGAAGAACACTTAAAGTACAAACTCCTAGAAAACTGGGGGTGCTTTACTAGAGAATGCTTACCATTCTGCATACAGATCAAAGAAATAAACAGCTTTACTGGCTTGGAATGCAAGAGGGCCAAATTTAAAGGTGGCAAGATAACCACGGATTTTGGGGGGATGAGTTAACCAAGGGAAGAAGCCAAGAATTAGTCCCCAAATTTGCATTTAAACGTCAATGAAATGATTGACAGAGGACTAAACCACATACATGCCAGAGAACTCAAAAGGACCAAAGAATGAAGCACCACTGGAAACTGAAAGAAACGGAGAAACAGGTAGTAATAATTGTGGCAGAACAAAACAAAACAAACAAACAAACAAAGCCAAGGAGTCCAGCCAGGGAATTGCTTTGCTGAACACAAAGTAATTTTCCACTGTGGAAAAGATGTGATTTACAATTTACAGGATGAAATTCAGAGTCATTGTAAAGAAGTCTGAATATATTACTCCAACACAAGTGGAAAAACAAGTAGAAATAAACCCAAGTTAACCCAGATATTCCAAGTACCACAACTTATAAAAATACTGTATTTTACACAGACAATAAAAGACAAGAAAAAACAAACAAGAAAAACATAAATTTTAGAGTTAAAACTAAAAGGGAAATTCACTCGCTGGCTTAGATTAGACTGAAAAGAAAACAATGGAACTTGAAATTAGATCAAGAGATACCTTAACGTCTTTGTACTGGAGCAATCCAGAAAGCAATCCAACATATACGTAATTGTAGCTTCACTAGGAAATGCATGTTGCAGAGCAATGGTTAAAACTTTGAGAAAGACATCAATTGATAGATTCAAGCTAGTCTGATAATGCCTAGTCATGATGGACACCAAGAAAACTTCTCCAAGCTAGGGACAAACTGCTGACACACAAAGGTAAAAGACAAGACCCAGGAAGCAGCCAAAGGAAAAACAGCACATGGCATATTAGGTAGACCATGTGCACATACGGCTACTCTCAGCACGAGGAAAAGGAAAAGTTGCATGCAAAAGTGTAAAAGAGAGCAACCTTCAATTTATGATGTTATATCCAGTGGAATTCTATAGAAGGAAGTACAAAGACATTTTAGGGTAAGCAAAACTAACATAACAGACAAACACAGGGGAACAGCAAACAGAACTAGAGCAAACCAACAGGAACGAACGGAAATCCCAGAAACAGATCATGGAGCGCAGTTTCACCAAGCTGGCATGTACACACAGGCAGGTCATAAGGCCTTAGCTGAAAACTTCTTTCTGACGTCATGGCTGAAAGGCCACATGTAGTGTCTAAGGTAGCTTCCACAGTGGCAGAAGACTCAAGGAAAACACTGTATAAACAGTCTCCCGATTCAATGACAACTTGAGCTATTGCTAACTAAGACTTCCTGGGTGTTTTTGAGTGTAGACGAGCAGCAGGGCTGTTCCTAACAAATCTAACTTTGAAGAGTCTGCTGTCTATCCTGCCCACATCAGTATGTCAGAGACATGCATGGAGCTATTGAAATCCCTGTGGCCCAGTCAGTACTTCAACCAGTCCAGGATTTATTTGTGTTCAAAAGCTGCCCGGCACCACACAACTGGAGAAACTTGAGAAAACTCTACTTGTATTTAGCATTACGGTAACCATTTGAATGCGGAGAGTGGAGAATGTTCTTTTGCATATTAACACTGAAAAACTTCCCACAACATTGGCTTTGTGGGCAAAAAAGATGGTAGTTAAGACTTCAGGGCCAGCCAGTCTTCTTCAGATTTGTCATGCTGTCTTCTGAGACCCCACCAAGTCACGTTACATGTGTGACACTTTTTTCAGCCAAATCTGCATCTAACTTAGAAGACTCTAGGGGCTGGTAACCTGCTTATATTTATTTATCTTAATCTTATGTCCAGCTCCCTAAAGTTCAAATGGACCTACCTCAAGTGTTTCATTTTATTTCTCAGGCCCTAACAAGTTCTTAAAATGCAACACAAAAGAAAAAATAAGTAAACAGCTCACCAGAGAAGTGTACACTTTTCGCTCTTCTTGGAAACACATGGAGAACTCTGGAAGCATCCCTGGGAGAGAAGGAGAGACTGGTGTGGTGTGGTTCAAGACGTTCTTGCCCAGACTCTGTACATGAGCTGGAACAAAGAACAGAAAAGCCTCTCTGTGGAGTAACAACCTTTTAGGCCTCAAATCAAAGCAACAAATACCCCACTAGCAATACACACAAGTCTATTACTTGATCCAGTTTAGCTATATAACTGATTTGGGTGGCTTAAAACACCTATTCAGCAAAAATGATCATTCCCCAAACAATTAAATAATTTCAACAACAGAAGAAACACACTCTTCACTAAAACTCATGTTAGAGAAATATACTTGGATTATAGAAACCACAGATCCTTATTAATACAAAGAAACCACCTAGGAATCCAAGTGAGTCTTTCTATTACAGCTCTTCCCAAAGAAAAACCTGCTATAACCCAACAGCACCTGCTCACATTTAGACACACTCTGCCGTGATGGCACTCACGGTCACAGCTCTGAGTGCTCACACAGTGGTCTCACAGTGACACTGGGCTTCGCTGGCACTGGGGCATTAGCCTTCTGGGACACACACTAAGACGTCAGCGCCTGCACTGTGAATGCAGCAGCCAGCAGAGACTGCCAGAAGCAGCCTTAATCTATCAGGAGCAGCCTAGGCACCAGAACACTAACACTTCAGTTAGTCATCCCAATTGCCCAGCCATGCCCACCCAAAATGTGGAGCCACAGATCTATAGTGAAGACTGGATTTTCTTTGCTCAGTAGTCTGAGCTGGTTCACTTTACAGTAAATACTGACATATCTCAACACACAAAACCTGACACCTTTTTTCTTTTACAGAAACATCAAAACGATAAATTGTGGGAGTCAACACCATGGTGTAGAAGGCTAAGCTTCCAGATGTCCTGGCTGCTCTGCTTTCTATCCAGTTCCCTGGTTACGGGCTGGGAGAGCAATGGTGGATGTTGGAAGTCCTTGGGCCCTTGTACCCACATGGGAGACTTAAAGGGGCCTTCTGCCTTGGGACTTGCTCAGCTCCAGCTGCTGTGGGAATTTGTGGAGTGAACCATAAATGGAAGGTCTCCAACTCTTTCTTTCAAATAAAAAATAAATCAACAAATTGGGGCTAGGCACCACAGAGAAGTAGTTAAAGTCCTGACCATGAACGAGCCAGGATCCCAAAGGGGTGCCAGTTCTAGTCCCAGCTGCCCTGCTTCACATCCAGCTCCCTGCCTTGTGGCCTCAGAAAGTGGCCCAAATCCTAGGGACCCTGTACCCATGGGGGAGACCCAGAAGAAGCTGCTGGCTCCAGGATACACGTTGGCTTACCTCCAGCTGTTGCAGAAGCTTGGGGAGGGAATCGTTGGATGGAAGATCTTCCTCTCTGTCTCTCCTCCTCTCTGGATATCCACCTTTCCAATAAAAATATGTAAATCTTGTTTCAAAACAATCAATAAATTGACATTCTTCTTAAATGGCAGAAGAGCCTGGCAAGCTTTTCCTTAACTATTACAACAGAGCCAGCATAGAGGAAACATTAGTAACATATTCCAACAGGCCAAATTTGGCGGTAGCTAGATCTGAGAAGACTCTGCCTCCAGACACAATGAGGGGAGACTGAATGCTTGGAAGTGAGTCTAGACCCTGGAGAGTGCTCCTCCTGACAGGCAGGCCCTGTACCCCTCAACACCCCTACAGCAGGTCACATTCCTAGGTCCCTGCCTATCCTGCCTGGTCGACCGCATCCCCCTCCACAGCCCAGGTCGCTCAGTCTTTGACATGTCCCGGGTGCAGTACAAGAGAACAGGATTCACAATTGCGTGGGTCGTGCAGAGCTGCGATCTCCACCTTTCTGAGTGGCCATTCTGCCTCTTCTGTGGAGCCAGTGAAGGTTCAGGCCCCAGGGATGCACCTTCCGGGAGGGATTTCTAAGTACAGGGTTACATCCACTCAGCCACACCTTCGTTACCCCAAATAAGACAGAACCAACTTCCACTTTGCACTCGCCCTCTGCGAACCCACCGACCTTAGAAAGTAACAGAAAATGGCAGTCTCCCCACTGCACCAGGAACTTCACCAACACAACAGCCCCTTGGGGAGACCCGCCTGTAACGGGGGTCCCTGGCCCTGCCGCCCCTTCAGGGGGCGCACGGCAGCGGCGGGGCTGGGACTGTACGCTCTCCCGCCCCAGCCACCTCGCAGCCTGCCGACACATCTCCCCCAAGTCGGCCCGGGCCCACGGACCTGCCCTCCGCAGTCTCCCGCCCGATCCTCAGCAGGGCGCAGCCCCGGCAACCTCGCCCCGAGCGCCCCACCTGGGGAGCCCACGCTGCCGGGCAGGAATCGCAGCCCGACGGCCCCGCACCTCCCTCCGCACACACGCCCCTCACCAGGGCCGCCGGCCTCCCTCCGCACACACGCCCCTCACCAGGGCCGCCGGCCTCCCTCACACGTCCCTCACCAGGACCGCCGGCCTCCCTCACACGCCCCTCACCGGGGCCGCCGGCCTCCCTCACACGTCCCTCACCAGGGCCGCCGGCCTCCCTCCGCCCACACGCCCCTCACCAGGGCCGCCGGCCTCTCCCCGCACACACGCCCCTCACCAGGGCCGCCGGCCTCCCTCCGCACTCTCGCACGCACCTGGAACCACTACACACTCCAGCCCCAGGACTTCCCAGCAGCCCAGGCAGCCGGAAGGATTTCCGCGAGGGAGTGGGCGGCCCCGCACATGCGCAGAAGGACCCGGCAGACCCTTTCTGCGGCCCGGGACCGGTGACGTCATTGGGAGAGACTACATTTCCCACAAGGCTCTGCGCCCGTTCTGTAGGTCCCTGAGGAGGGGGCGTTCTGGGCTTTCCTGACTGGAGAGGTGAAGTTGGCCTGGTTGTGGAATTCTAGCTCTTGATTAACTCCTGTTTCCACAACTTGGGCCTTTGTAGGGAAAAATGGGAAGTGAGTGGATTATTCTAAAGCTTTTTTTCTAGACTTCCCACTGAGGTGCTGTTATTGCTCATTATTAAAAAAATTTTCTGAAACATGAAAAAAATCAAATTTCATTTTTACTTTAGATAACTAACATGAAGTGTATAGGATAAACCCTCTTTAAACTTTCTAAGAGATATTTTCATCCACTAGTCTGTTTTCTGAATCTTCAGCAGGTTATAATACCCAGGTTGGGAAAACACCCTAGTGTACTCAGTGAAATAAAATATAAGCTCTGTATTGTGGGAAAGTTCCTCTGCCTCGTCATCCTTGTGTAATTTTCCCATCCAGAATCTGATTATTATTTGTTCTGTGTGCCCCGTGTTCTGTATATCCTTCTATCTTTAGCTGTCTACTACTGGGAGGGGTGTGTGTGTGTATGTATGTGTGTGAAAAATAATTTAGAACACAAGACATTCAGGCCTAAGTGTAATAGCCTAGTGTCTTAAGTCCTCACCTTCCATGAGCTTGGATCCCATACGGGCTCCCATTCAAGTCCTAGCTGTCCTACGTCCAATCCAGCTCCTTTGTTTTGTGGCCTGGGACAGCAGTCAAGGACAGCCCAAAGCCTTGGGATCCTGCACCCTGTTGGGAGATCTGGAAGAGGCCCTAGGCTCCTGGCTTCAGATTGGCTCGGCTCTGGCCTTTATGGCCACTTAGGGAGTGAATTAATAGACAGAAGATCTTCCTTTCTGTCTTTCCTCCTCTCTGTATATCTGAATTTCCAACTGGAAATAAAAACTTTTTTTTTTAAAGATTTATTTTTATTATTTTTTTTTTATTGGAAATGCGGATATACAGAGAGGAGAGACAGAAAGGAAGATCTTCCGTCCGATGATTCATTCCCTAAGTGAGCGCAACGGCCGATACTATGCCAATCCGAAGCCAGGAGCCTCTTCTGGGTCTCCCACGCGGGTGCAGGGTCCCAAAGCTTTGGGCTGTCCTCGACTGCTTTCCCAGGCCACAGGCAGGGAGCTGGAAGGGAAGCGGGGCTGCTGGGATAGAACCGGCGTCCATATGGGATCCTGGGCATGCAAGGTGAGGACCTTAACCACTTGCGCCACCGCACTGGGCCCAAAAATACATAAATCTTAAAAAAAAAAAAAAAGAATTAAAGCAGATGTTGTTAGACATTCAGCATATTGCCCTTTCTATGAATGAAAAACAAGAACAGGTCCAAGCAAACCTAACTGAAAAAATCTATGCTCTCAATGGCACCCAGGGTAGCTATTGGAGCAGTTGAGATCAGGGCTTGCTGAGAACAGCTCTTGCCTGTAATAAATGGTGACTGTCCTTGGAACATATTCATGACACTGAGGCTCTCACAGTGTAGATGGCTCCTACAGACCACCAGAGAAGTCACTGTTGATGCACGCTTTTCTGACTGCATCTGAGACACGTGGCCTGCTGTCTGTTGATGTATGTGTCCATGACTGCATCTGAGCAATGTGGCCTGCTGCTTTTGCCCTCTGCTTCCCATTGCTCTCTGTCCTTCCTTCCCTCCACTGTCCCTCCATTAGGCTCCAAGCACCTGCTTGCTGCTCATTCAGCTGGGACCTTGAAAGTGGGGACTGACGATGTACCTGTTGCCTGGGAATTGCTGAGTGGACAGCAATTATAGCTGCTGGAGAGCCCTGCTACAGGTGCCCTGTCACAGCCTCAGAAGGGACCATGACCCTGGCCAGCAACTTGGCTTCTGGCTGCTAGATGGATGTGTGTCATTCTATGCTTGTGGTACTGTGGTATGGCAGCCATTGTGGTGTGCCTTATTCTGCCTGTAGCCTCACCTAACCAGAGGACAGGTGAGGGTTCTAATCCACTTATTTGCTGCCTGACATGCAGAGGTGCTAAGCAGCTTACCTGCCAAATCTGCCTAGCACAGGAGTGCACCAGCTGCCTGTAGTTGGCATGCCTTGCCTGAGCTCTTGCACTTGAACATGGCCCATGGGCAGGGAAGAGAGACAGCTGTGCAGGGCTACTGCATGGTGTCCTGGAGATATTGGCAGGCTAGGCAGAGTAAAAGCTCGTGGAAGCTGCCAGCCCTCGCTCTG